TGATCGGGGCAGAGACCCGTGCTCATCCAATAACTGTACACTAACTGTTTCCTTCTAAGATTCAAAGGGGGGACACCTAGGGCGACTTCCATAGCTTCCCACATTAACACGTACACTACTCTCAAAACCTTACTCAATGAACCACAAGCATACTCACAGCTGATAGTCTACCTCTATGTGACCTTCTTTAAAGTGTCAGAGATTCTTCTGTCGTCAGTCAACGGGGTTGTGAGATCGTGTGAACTGTAGCCTGAGCTGTGTTGTTTTATAGTCTCCTGTATCCAGGATATCGTTTAGGAGGATGCTGTGTGAGGTCAGTGTACTACCTACAACAAAAACAATAACCAGTGAAGGGCCGGAATAGCCTTTGTTCGGGCCGGACATCCTAGTGCTCATGGTCTTGATGTTGTGTTTTTATTTTCAAATATGGTGTCGGCTGATTCACTGAAGAAAAATTCAATAGGAATATTACAAGTTTAAAAATATGGGGGGAAAATGCAATGCATCTGAATACCATACAGACAAATATAATATATCAGAGTTAATTTATGCTCTACGTTAATACATTACATTACCCGTACTGTAAAATATTATGCTATACCATACATTATACAATACGGTGCTATATTACACAATACAGTACAATACTGTACAGTCATAGACTACACTAAACTAGACTACTATACAAAAAATAGAACACTACATTATACTTTCTAATCTCGTACCCTTTACTAGACTAGAAAACTAAACAAAACAATTAAACACGATATCATACTATTTAATATCATACACTAGATTAGACTACTGAACAAAACAATAAAACAGGATATTATAATATTTATTATCATACACTATCTAGACTAGACTACTCTGTGGTGTCAGCTGCCAATCTTGTTACATGGCCTAACCATTTGATTTGTTGTCTACCTATAAAGTTAAGTATTGGTTCTGCGACGATTCTCCTCCTGATATCATCGTTCATAAGTCGATCTTTCCTTATTACACCTAGCATAGTACGTAAACATTTTATTTCTGTCGTGACTATTTTCCTTCTGTGTTCTGAAGACAGTGTCCATATTTGACATTGATTGAAGAGCATTGGTAGGAACATTGTGTTAAACAGTGTTCTTTTAGTGTTCATACTCACATGCTTGCATTTCAAAATTGTTGCCATTTGGCCTAATACTTGATTGGCTTGATTGCATCTTTGTTGGATTTCTTTATTCCTTCTTACGTCTTCAGGAAAAATGTTTCCCATATATGTAAAATCCTTCGCCTGCTTTAATTAGTGTTCATCAATTCTGATATTTGTGGTTTTCCTTTTCTGGAGAATATTATATTATAGTCCATTTTATTCACGGTTATTTTTTCTCGCGAATCTCCCACTAAGAATGCAAATAACGATTTAACGGATAATTATTAATTTGAATTTTTATATTAAAATTTGCCGATCGGGTGTTATGGTTCAAGTCCCGATGGGGGCCAGATTTTTTTCAAAAATGACCTTGGCTCCCTGGTCGACCAAGCTTTGTGTGGGTACCAGGTACTGACCACATCATTCACCAAGGGCTGTTTCGTCTATAAAATATCGGTCTAACCCTACATACCCAATACGCCTCAGGGCGCGGAAAAGGGTCCTTTACTTTACATTACAATTGCGAAGAAAATAGTATGGACAATGTGACGACTCTTGTGGCTTGGCTAAATTCTAAAACACTAAAAGCTTCCAAAATAGAATACTGGACTCCCCCACCCTGTCGTTCTCTCCATAGGAGCACCCCTCTGTAGCAGCCCTTTGGTATCACCCCTCTTGAGTATTGCGGCTCTGTGGCTTAAAATTTAGTGAAGTCGTTTCACACTACAATCCGACACGTCTACCAGTGTTCGAATCTCGCGGCAGCCAGTTGAACAAAAAATGACCGTTCTCGTGGTTTCCAGATTCCCGTATGGGTTCCGGGGCTCCATCGTGAGGAAACAATAATGGACCCATTGCCTTCCTAACAAGCATGACGTACGAGTTGACTAACTGATGGTTTCCTTCGAAGTCGCAGTGCATCATAGGCGAGAAGACAACAGTCATCATCATCATGTGCCCTGCCAATTGGCGTAGGCGCTCATGTGTCTCCACAGTTTACGATTACTGGTTGACTTGAACAGCTCTCTTAATGATATCCGTACATGCCATAGTTTCAGCCCACCCAGCATCGTCTCTCTTGGTCTGCCTCTACCCGTCTTTCCACTGATCTTTCCAGTTATTACGATGTTTTCCAGTGCCTTTCTTCTCATTACGTGGCCAGAGAACAGTGTTTGTCTCCTTCTTATTGTTGTATATCATCAGTTCTTGTTATGCCTAGTGGCACATGCGGCTTCAGATAGGACTTTCCATGCTTTCCTGTCCTGTGCAATCTTCAGTGCAGTTTTCCATGTCAAAGATGCCGCACTCAGGTCACTTTCCATCGTTCGTCTCCATGTTGTTTTTGGGCGCCCCTGTTTTCTCTTTCACTCTGGTGTCCATGTGAGAGCTATTTTGGCAGGTATATCAGAAGTCATTCTCATAACGTGGCCAAGCCATTTCCATCTTCTCTTGGTAATCATACTGTCTAAAGTTTCTTGGTTTGTGGCTTGAAGTAGTTTAGTGTTTGAGATTGTATCTGGCCAGAAAATTTTGATAATTCTACGTAGACATGTGTGGTGGAAGGTGGACAGCTTGTGTGCATCCTTTTTGGACATTCTTCAGCATTCCGATCCATAAAGAAGAACTGGCAAAATGATGCTCTTGTAGAGTCAGAGTTTTGTTCCTCTGCAGTAATTGTTGGATTTCCAGATTTGCCTCATCCTTCCAAAAGCAGCTCTAGCTTTGTTCAGGCGTGACTGTATGTCTTCCTCTGTCCCTCCCAGTAGGGACACCACACTGCCAAGATATGTGAAATGTTGTTGTATATAGAGATCTACTTTCATTAGCTTCTTTCAAGCAATCGTTGTTAGTTAATCTGGCCGTCCAACGTATTCGTAACATTCGTCTCAAAAACCACATCTCTGTTGCTTTTAAATTCTTCTTAATTTATTCACTGACATTCCAAGATTCGCTGCTACACAGCAGAACAGGTTCTATGTAACATTTTAGCACCCTCTTTCTGACATTAAATGAGAGCGACTTATTGCACAAGATATTTTTCATTTTCTGAAATGCAGCTTTCGCTTGACCTAATCTGTTTTTAATCTCCGTCACACATTTTCCATCTGATGATATAATTGTTCTCAGATATTTGAATTTATTGACTTGATTACGTCTTTTTCCCTAAATTGAAATATCACAATGTGGTGTTATCTTCTTCTTTGATCTAAACACTGCTTCCGTTTTCAAGTAGTCTTGGCACTCTCTATCCCCACAATATCCAGCAGTTGTAAATTACTTGCGTTTTTAGTTACTTAAACTGTATCGTAGTCAACAGTCTGCCTACAGATAAGTCGGAGCTGTTAAGCTGATGTGCAGACAACATTCACATTCTGGAACAAGACTAAATTTCAGAGGTGGACGAACAACTAGAATTTCCCCCCTGAGTTTACAACCGGAGCACGAAGGAGAAGACGAAGCAGAACAAGTGGTTTTCTGACAGTGGTACCAGAATCGCACTACAGACGAGGTTGGGACATCATGACCTAATATCCGCCTGGTTTGCTGTGGATTGTAGAGACAGCACTTGAAAGAATAATGTTGAGGGAGTTTGTGGGATTTTAGTCCTGTTTGGATTATCATCTGAAATGTGTTTCTTTGAATCCCTAGGTTCGTCTTGTTGTTTAATGGGTCCCGTGGAGGGTGGGGCGGGGGGGGGAATAAGCGCCCCCCTCACAAACCCCCCTCCTTTTTATAACCCCCACTACGACAAGCAAACATGCCATGAGTGACTACTAACTAATGGTGTTTCTTTCAGGCGGAATGTATCTGAATGGGAGGCGAAGAACCAACAGTCTGCATTAAAAAAAAGGCAGATCTGCAAAAACGATGTACAAACATAACTCAATTTCTAGAACAAGGCCAAAGACCAATACTTGGTGAATAGCCAGTTCCTACCAGTGTTTACTCGTTAGTCGCCGTGGTCTAACAGCTAGACGCTCGCCTGTTAGAGCCCGGACATTTTTTCAGAAATGACCTTTGTCGACCTACCCTTGAGTGGATGGATACCAGCTACAGTCCTGGGAAGTAAAGACGATCGGCTGATGTTGATCACATCACCTACCAAGTGCTGTTTGGTCTATAAAACATAGTTCTAGACCAATACGCCTGAAGGCGCTGAAAACGGTCCTTTACTTTTTTACCTGAGTTTACAGCCGATGAAAGTTAAGAAATAGTTATGTACTTCTCTCACAAGGATCAACTTTATTGCACCAGATTTTATCTTATATGGCTCGACCCCTCTCCGTAGAGCGGCTAGCCGCCACCTGAGAGCATCGCACAATCACGAACTCCGTAGCTCCGGCGGCGATTCCCGTGGATCTCCGTAAAATTGCCGCCGTGAAACGGACCCACGCCCTTCGGAGCGCGAGGCAAACGGCTTGACTACTTCGCCACATAGACCCCTGAAAACATCTCTTTATGATTGCTTATCGGTTTTTATCAATTTGTTTATGTTATTCAAGAAGCAAAAGAAGAGGCAATGACTAGATGTTAATGTTTGAGGGAGATAGGGGAGGGGGAATTAATGGTTGCACCGCCCACCAACAGTTTCCTGTTCCCCATGCCGCAAGGGCGCAGCCATTGTTTTGTTAGAACTGTTTTGTCTATTGAGGTCACGATTTATCGATTTAACTTTCAGTTTAACCTCTCACAATTTGCATTTAAACACTGTCGAGTTTCAAATAAAATTTTATTAATAGACTTCTGTGTTGTGCATTAATAAATATATATTTTATGTAAATACTGAGGTAATTTAGTAAACCAGTAAAAAATAAAATTCCCTTCGATTTTCTCTAGTATGTGGCTTACGGCTTAAGTGAAGCTGATGAAACACATACTCAATTTTGTTCACCGAACCGTTAGTACCGCGGTTAAAAACTACAGCAGATTTGTTTCAGTATTAGAAACAAAAAATCGCTTCCACTTATCATTGTCTTATTGTTGTATTCGCAAATATTCGTGGGGATTCAATAAAAACAAGTCTTTGAAAGCGGCGAAGTCCAGACACTTAGCAATGACAGACCCAGCCATAGAAGCCCAGCTTGCTCCATTGAGGCAGGCGGTAAAGGAACAGGTATATTGAATCATGAATGTACCAATTCTCGTCGTTAGCACATGCATAGTTTAATTGCTCTGATATTGATGATAATAGTTTACAGAATAATCGACATCCACATTTTTATTTTGCAGAATGAGTAGCATCGTCTTTATTTAAATTCTGCCGTCTCCACTCACAGTTCTGTGATTTCTGTTGACTTCAGATTAGAAGGCACTTCAGTCAAATTTTTAAAATCATTTAAAAAACAGTACAGCTGGATGCATATTGAAAAGCTCTTTCCAACACCACGGTACCCCATTCATGTCTGTATGTCAATTTTTAGCCGAGCTATTTAAAGTTTTTGTGGCAAAAAAAAAGGAGTAAAGAAGAGAAGGCTCTCCTCCGAATTTCTACCCCCGCAGTATTGCAGCCTAAAATATCAGTTCGGGGCGCAGTCCAATTAAAAATATGCCGACTCCGTATAACGAAAAAAAATGCTTTAACAAGGTCTCAGCGATATGTTACTTGTGGAACTGTTTCATATTGTTTCTGATTACCTGACAATTCTAAGAGATGCACGCAACACTGCAGACGATAATAATAGCGACCGTTGACACTTTCCATTGTCGAACTTTCTGCCGATGAACAAATCGCGGCAAATCTAGGATCGGCTCGTAAAAACGAAACAAATGCTCTAATGGGTCTCAGCGATATGTTACTTGCGGACCTGTTTCTGTGACTATGCCTCACCGCCAAGCGTATCCCCCGCGCCGCTACGCGCGGCGTGAATAGGAGCTAAACTAGATGGCTGGGACTCACGAGCGGCAGCTACCGCATCTCCTGCAACTTCCTCCAATTACTTGACTTTATGTGAGTCCCAGGCACCTAGTTTAGCCCCCCATCCGCGGCGCGGGGGATACGCTCGGCAGTGAGTTTAATCGCGTTTTGCGCATGCCGACAAATCTGACATCAACCGCTGCTAAATCCTCAATCGGAAGAACAATATTGCTAATCTGCGTGGGAGCGCGTGATCTACCCGCCATATCGCTTGTCTCAAAATTGTCAACGGTCGCTTTTATCATCTGCAGAAAACGCTCGACATTGTCACCGGTCGCTTTTATCGTCTGCTACTATCGTCTGCAATGTTGCGTCTTGTGACATTGTAAGGTATTCCTAGTTTTGCCGCAATTTGTTCCTCGGCGGGAACTCCGACAAGTCCGTATTTTTAATTGGACTGCGCCCCGAACGGATATTTCAGGCTGTAATACTGCGGGGGTAGAAGTTCTGAGGAGAGCCGAAGAAAAAATGAAAGTCAGTGTTTAAAAAACTACTGGTGGACTCACACTACTGTCCGAAAACACCAGAACTGTTTTTAAACATAAACTGTCAAAAAATAATACAATAAATGCTACTCATCTCTAACAGTAAAATTGTTTTTCTGTACACTATATAAATAGAATATTAGGTTATCCTCCGAATAACGGGCACATATTATGGTGGCTGCAAAAGCACCCTAACAGGACCTCATCATCAGTTCTCGTTGTGCCTAGTGGTACATGAGGCTTCAGAGAGGACTTTCCATGCTTTCCTGTCCTGTGCAATCTTCAGTGCAGTTTTCCATGTCAAAGATGCCGCACTCAGGTTACTTTACATCGTTCTTCTCCATGTTGTTTTTGGACACCCCTGTTCTCAGCATTCGCTCCATAAAGGTGGCGATGTCTATAGTTTCTTTTTTTGGCTTTTGTTCCAAATGCTTTGCTCAGACGTCATTTTCCCTCCCGGCTTAATTTGCAGACTTCCGGCGACTACTGCAGCTTTGCTCACCTTTTTATATAGTGGTGAGTCGCTGGAAGTCTCTTGTGCCCTGTTTTTGGGCTGCCATAATTGTCTTTTTCACAAACAAATTTACAAATCCATTAGTAAATGCTATTCATTACCAGATATTCTCTTCTCTTTGGGGGGGGGGGGGAAGGGGGGGGGGGGGGGGAGGGGGGGAGGTGGCGATGCATCATTAATTTTGTACCCGTTTTAATTTGAAATTTTTTAGTTACTCTTGAAGTGTGGGATATTCACATTTGTCTCAGAAATATCTTTACTGCCTCCAAGTTCTTCCTGTTTCATCGTTTTTGCATTTCAAGATTCACTACCACAGTAGATCAGGTTGGTATATCATTGTGCTACTCAAGTACTCCCTCTTTCTTACTCATTAAACTGAAAGGGACTTTTTGTCTTCTGAAATACAACCTTTTGCTTACTCTATCTGCATCCTTTGCAGCTGGTGAACATGAAGAAGAATAATTAAGTCTTTTTTTTTAAAACACTGTATTAGAAAAACCCAGCAGTTGTCGCAGATCATTTGTATTTGTATATCTATTGTGTCTTAGTCTATGTTTAAGCTATCAGTTGTATGTCTGTAATAATGTAGGTTGTCTATAATTTATAGCTCATATTCCTGCAAGTCAAAGGAGAACAGACTTCTTGATTGATAGAGACCACAAACAAAATTATAAAGTAATAACTACAAGAGGAAAATATAAATAATTTTATTTTTAAAATACAAGAATTGATTAAAAAAGGAGAAACATCCCTATTGATTTAGAAGTTCAAATGAACTGTCAGTGGCACATAAAGAATTTTGATATTTGTTTATTTCTGTGTGTGTATTTGTTTTGCTTTAGGGAAAAAGTACCGTACCACAGACCATGTGTGTGTTTTGTTAGTTGACTACAAAAATAAAGTTTGTTATATGGTTCTTATGTAATGTTATGTGATCTTACTAGGGGGATATTGTGAAGCAGCTGAAAGCTAATGGAGCTGTTGACATTGACATTCAGAGGGCTGTCTCTGAACTCAAGCATAGAAAGAAAGCTTTGGAAGATAAGGTAAGCTCATGCTGGGAGGGATAACTTGAAATATTTTTGGACAGAGGTAGGGCAACACATTTCTTTTTTTTTTTTGTCACACCTGTATTTACCACTATTGCGGTGTAAGCAAAGGTGGGTCTGAGGATTTAGGGCTGTGTGGCTAGTGCTGTTACCGCAGATTGTGCAGGTTAGGATTTTATTTTTGCTCCCGACAGAAAAAAATCTCCAACCTTAGCATGGATTTGAACCCAGGTCTCTTATGAGAGCCCCATGTTTTTAACCATTTGGCCAGCGACTCCTTAGGGCAACAAATGCTACCTAAAAATGATAGTTTTTGTCTTGTGTGTGTGTGCTGTTAATGTTGTGTGTTTTAGAAGCTCACATCTACTGACAAAATACATGGTTAAAGATGTTTTACCCCACTGATTGTTTTTTTGGTCCGCATTTTCTTCACAAATTTTTTTTTTATCTGAATTATAATTTTACCATTTGTAAAATAAATGTTTTAGTTATACAGTTGCCTATATGGGAAAAGTAAGACTTTGTTGATCAAATAATAATTCTGACACAAAATTATATCCAGTGTGCAATAAATGTTTAAAATCTAATTATAAACATTGTAAACAAAATTTCTCAGTTTTTCTTTTTCCCTTCCTAATTTTTTGACTCCATGCAGTATGATCTTTTTCTTCATGTTCCCATGAACCCACCTCAATACCTGTATCATTTATACCCCACTTTCACATATCTTTAAAATCACAATAGCGGCCAACCTCATCATCTTCTGTCCTTCTGTAATCCACCATAGAGGATGTCCTAAGGATAGCATTGTCTTGGAACCTACAGAATTGAGTTGATGCTTGGGAAGTTATACATTTTGTTATGGAACTTCACACAGTGAAGAAGTTATACATTTTGTTGAAGAACAATTATGGTAAATTTGTCCTTCTTATCCTCTGGATAAGAGGAATATCTGATTAGAAGAACAATTTCTTGGGTCCTCAATGCGTTCTTGTTATCAAGTCTGCACTGTAGTACTAAAAAGTGTATTATGTGTAGTCAGAATAATAATTTTAAAAATTCTGAAAATATATTTTTTTTTCTGTGAAAATTTTTTAGTTCCTTCTTGATCCTCTGGATAATGTTGGAAGGATATTGCAAATGGCTGATTAGAAAGTCTTAGCTTTGAATCTGCATCTTGGCAGGTTGTCCCTCTAATGCCGTAAAATAGGTTATGTCCTGGGAAGTAAAGGTGACTGGCATGATGCTGAGTCCGTACTGTGAGGCTCCTAAGGATAATTTTGATCGATTAAGGATGGAGGATCTGCTCAAGCAACGATTTTTCTTTGACCAATCATTTGCCATTTATGGTGGTATGTATACTGCTTTACTATATCACTAAACCTTTAAGTATTATTATTTTCTTAGTTAGCAGTTACATTTTCCTGATTTTTGGGGTGTTGGTACGTATGCTTTCTATGTTACTACTTGAGGAATTAAACTCTTTTTATCTTTGATTGTGTATAATATTTGCTAAATGTGACAAGTTTAAAATGATGTGCTTTACAAATCACTGCTTTAATTTGTTTTCTTCCCTGTGTATTTGCAGTTTTCATAGAAATCAATGTATAATGTTTGTTATATCTTTCTGTTTGGCCTCAGAATACTTTAAAAAAAAAGATATGGCTAGATATTTTAAATAAACATCACTGTCTTTGGAAGTAATACATCAATTAGGTAATCAAACCCTTTAAGAAAATGATAGAATGAGATGAACTTAGATCAAGAATTGCACAAATAACTGCAATTCTGTACAGGCTGCAACCAGTGGGAAAATAAACGAATTTGCTACTGAAAACCAAGGTTTCATATTGTTTCTACATCTTTAATCACCATCTTAAATATCATTTAAAGGAAGCATAAGTCAACTCAAGCTTGTGACATTTCCATAGACTTTTTCCTCAAATGGCCCAGGTGTAATTTTTTTTCCTGCTTATGCCAGTCACTCTTTGCAACACATGCTTAACTGTCATTTTGCCTGTCTCACTGTTAAAATGTCCATCTTTAGCCTTTTGAACAAGTGGTATTTCAGCCAGTGTTTAATATATGATAATTTCAAAGAAAGACATAGCAAATATACATGGATAGCTTAGAAAACTTGCCAGCAAATAAAAACAAACAGCTCACAAGCCTAATTTCTGTCTACAGCTACTTCTTTTCAGGTATTGAAAGCGACATTTTTACAGGATTACTCATTGAAACTGTAAGAATAACATTAATATAAGTTTCTTCTTCTCTAGTCCTAATCTTCCTTTTAGTGTCAGGTTTTGAAGAGGCATCAGCAGTGAGCCTTGGTGTATGCATCGTAGAGGCTGGTATTCACTGCTTCAATATTCCATCTATCAGTCGCTTACGTGGTCTACTTCAATCAGTCCCATTTCTCTTCTTATTGTTTCTTCGAACAAGATTTTGTCCACTGCCGGCTGGCATTAAACTGAATATTAATAGAGGATATAAGATGGATCCCATTTGGCAAGCCTGAGACCTTGGTACTTCAGTTTTTCCGGTGTGCGTCACCTGGACGTGGGGTTGGCTTGGGTGTCCCTTTGGGTCATTGGTAAAACTACTCATTTCCACTTTTTATCTTTGCAGGGAAGAGCTTGGCTAACGTGACATGACTGGCTAACTGTACCTGACAGATAAGACATACCTCCATGCACACACGTTTAAAACTAAGATTAAGAAAATAAAATAAACCTGTTTGCAGGTGTCAATGGCCTGTATGACTTTGGCCCCATGGGATGTGCAATGAAAGCCAACCTTCTGCAAGCTTGGAGAAAACACTTTATCTTGGAAGAACAGATGCTGGAAGTTGATACAGCCATGCTGACCCCTGAACCAGTGCTCAGGTAGGTCGACACACATATTGTTTTATGGAGTTCATTTTTGTCTTCATTGTCTTTTATTATTTAAATCTGTGTCAAGATGAGAACACCCTGGATAGATAAAAACTATAATAATGTTTCGAAAAAAACTCACAAAGAAAACTGGCCACCCACATCAGAAGGAAGCAGTCTACATTCTTTGGCCACTTTATGAGAAGAGGAAAACTAAAATGCTCTCCTGACAACATTAGACCAGAGGAGAAGACCATTGTCTTGGTTATGTAGTACAGGAACTTCTATAACTACAGCAGCCGCTGTGTGGTGGTTCAAAAATTTTTTTTTTATATATTAACAGTTTCAATTTATTTTAAATGGAATTGTTTATCTACCAATTCCAGGGCCTCAGGCCATGTTGAGAGGTTTCAAGATTACATGGTGAAAGATTTGAAGACCGGAGAATGTTTCCGGGCAGATCACTTGATTGAAGGTGAGAGCAAATAACAGTTGTTTTGTCTATTGTTTTGATTGTTTAATTCATTCTGTACCAAAAGAATAAAAACTCATGATCCAGGAACTGTTTTATATCACTCATTCTAGACAAGTCACTCATACTATAGTACAAAAACTCATGTTAGATCCAGGAACTGTTTTATATCACTCATTCTAGACAAGTCACTCATACTATAGTAAAAAAAAACAAATATAGAACCCTTTCCCACGCCCTCAGGTGTATTGGGCTTCTAGTGCTACACCTATATTTTATAGACCAGTCAGCACTCAGTGGATGTTGTCAACATCACGCTGCAGCCTTTACTTCAAAGAACCGTACCTGGTACCCACTCAAGAGTTGACCTGGGAGCCAGAGTTGTTTTTTAAAGAAAGTCTGGCTCTTTTTTTTTTTTTTTTTTTTTTGGTTTGACCCATGACCTACGTATGGATCTGCAGGTGAGCATCTGACCATTACACAAGTGGCTCTGCTCAAACTATAGCAGCTTATAGCATACTGGTCGACTCATGCTTTACCAAGTAACTCATACTTTACCAAGCAACTTGTACTGTATCTAACAGTGTAATTATAAGTAAACTAAAGGGCCCTTTTCCACCTTTGGGCTTATAGGGCTAGACCTGTATTTGATAGACCAATCGGCACTGGGGGGGTGATGTGGTCAGCATCATGCCGGCCACCTTTTACTTCTCAGGAGTGCACGTCGCATCTAGGTCGACTTGGGAGGCAAGGTCATTTTTTTAAAAGTCCAGCTCCGTCAGGACTCAAACCGACAACCTTCCGATCCACGGGCAAGTGTGTAGCCACAGCGACTGCCTCAGTTAATTGTATTCTGTACAAAATCAGTAACATTATAACTAACAACACATTCTGTATCGAGCAGTTCATAATATATAAAGTAACTCATTCTATACCAAGCAGCCTTTACCATGCTTAACCCTTCGGAGACGATGCAGCTGATTTATCGGCCCGACAGAAAATAGCCAGAAAGATGAATGGGCTGATTGATCAGCCCTATATAATACATGCCTTGAGATTGGCTGGCAGATTTTCTTACCAGCCAATAAGATTGCTTCTTGCATTTCTTGTAACTGAAACATGCAGGAAAAGGAGTAGAATCTTGTACTAGAAGTGTTTGAAGGGCCTCCATAGGCCTTACTTCCCAAAACACAAGTGTGAGCACTTATTCATCAAAAAATTCACCCAGATTTTTTAGGTTAGTCATGTTTGTTCCCAGATGAAAACAAAAAATGTTTGCATAAATAATGCAAATCAGAATAATTTAAATAAATGTTGAGATTTCAGTTTGATTCATAAATATTTTGCTAGCACATTCAATTTCCTACATAAACACACACGCGCGCGCACACACACACACACACACACACACAGAGAGAGATATATACACATACATATATATATATAGTTTTGTTTATGTTAATTAAGTGTTTTATTTATTTTAAAAAAAATGTGTGTTAAGTGAAGTGAAGGCTCCATCTTTTTTGACACTAAAACTCAAGTAAAAGGCTTCTTCTCCAAAGGGGTAATAATGTATTCTATACCACCCCCCCCCCCCCCCCCCCTTAAAAAATAATTCCTTACAACTTTTCTATACCCAGACTCTCTAACAATGGCTATAAACTCATACTTTACTAAGCAGTTTATAATTTATTGAACAGTTTGTATTTATTCTGTTGAATTGAGGGACCATAAGATGTGGAGAAACATGATCACCTGTGCCAGTTGGCAAAGCACTTGATATACACAATCTTTACTTTAGTAGTAACATTTTCTTATAGGCAGTAGAATAAGGGGTCACATTTTTTTTTAATTATAAAAAATTCTTTTTTAGAACTTGTTTCTAATCATCTTTAATTCTTCCTCCATTGACAGCGACATTTGAAAAATTGCTAGACGACAAAAAGACACCAGAAGAATTAAAAGAAAAAATACGGAAGTTGTTACCAACGGTAAGCTCTGAACAATTAGTTCTCTAAAATTGTCTAGGCTTACAGCAGTATTTTTGGTTTAAAAAAAAACTAGATCTTTCTTCACGTTCCGAAATTTTAGCTTGGAACCATTTTGCTGCTCATGCTAATGTAGTGAAAATGTCTCAGAGTTCTATGCCCAGGCATGTAAATGGAGAGCAAAATAAAGAAGAAGTTTGTCACCATTGCTTGACTGATAATAAAATCCTAACCTAAACTGTGGGTTGCCACTGCACCCTTAAAAGTGGTAAGAATAGACAGTAAAGATTTGAATGACTTCGTACAGAATGAAAGTAACAGGATGAAGTGTAGGAGAAAGCTTATATGTTGTTGCAGATATCGCAACCCCCACCTCTCCTCCGGAATAAAAACGTAAATTGGAGACAACACAGAAAGCAAACAACAGAGCCGGACACCTGTAACCTTCAGCAAGTGGAACAGTCCAACAGACTTGTGAATGAAAAGTGGGTCAACTCTGTTTGGGGAGATTTACGGGATGTTCATCCAATAGAGAATTGCAGACCTATAATAAGTGTGGGTGTGTAGGAATAGGCCCACTGCTTCTCCAACAAGCATGTAGTTAGAGTCAATTAATTGGAGGCATTCCTTTGCAGTTGCAGTGCATCTGCCTGAGGGGCAAGGAACCAGCAATCTGCATACAAATAAACCAGATCTGTACAAGAGATGTAGATGCAACACTTAGGTTCTGGAACAAAACTAAAGTCCAGAGGTGGACGAACAACCACAAATTTCCACCAGAGTTTACAGCTGGTGAATACGAAGAAGAAAAAGAATAAAATGTTATTTCATAAATTATTGACTGAATAAATGTCATTGTTTGCTGTGTCTGTTCAATTGATAGATTGATGGTATGAGCAAAGATGACATGGGCAGAACTCTCAGAGAGTTTAACATGAAGTCCCCAATAACTGGTAATGACCTCACAGATCCTATTGAATTCAACTTAATGTTTGCCACTTCAATTGGACCCACTGGTCAGATCAAAGGGTACGTATGAAATCAGTTAATTTTAGTCACTTTTCATTTTTCTATGTCTAAATCATGAAATAAATTATTTTAGTCACTTTTCTTAAAATATATTATGGCATGAAAGAAATTAAACACATTTTCTGTTATCTTTGCATTTCTCAGCACTTCATTTGCATAAACAGTTTAAAAAAAAATAATTGAAGTTTGATAGTCACTCAAGAGGAAACTGCAGGAGAATTTGTTTGTTTTCATATCTTTTACCCTGTTACTCCTCTTGTGTATCTTCTCTCTGTTTTTTTGTCTGGGCATATACTGTGATAAAAACTAACATTTATAACTTGGTTATCTAAGAATGGTCATATTTGTTTTACTCAGGTATCTTCGACCAGAGACTGCACAAGGTATTTTTGTAAACTTCAAACGTCTGCTTGAGTTTAACCAAGGAAAATTGCCGTTTGCTGCAGCTCAAATTGGCAACTCTTTCAGAAATGAAATTTCACCCCGTTCTGGTCTTATTCGAGTCAGGTAATGTACTGAAATGTCACACAAATTATGTAATTTAGTATTTCAGTTATGCTTTGAATTCTGTGTTGTCCTACATGAAAAAAATACTTGCTAATACACTTTTGTTATTTCTCTACATTACATACAAACAATAAAACTTACACAAACCTCATGTCTGTTCTTTACATGTCTGTAATGGTTTATACCATGCATTACAATCCAATGTCTCTGTGTGTTTATTTGACTTATTAATGTTTTGTGTTTAATTAAAAATCGATATCACAGCACTTGAGACATTCCCGTAAGTGCTCCATCCCCATCTTCAGCAGCAAGTGAGAGTTCCATTTTTTATGGTATCATTAACAGTCTTTTTTGACTTATGGCTAATAATTACGAATTGCTGAAGCCTTTTACAAATGTTTGGCTATAAATTATGTCGATATATAGATGTTTGCGTCAGAGGATAATAGATCTGACTTGTGATGAGTATCAAAAAAGATACTGACAGTCTGGTGGTCATAGGCCGTGTTTTTAAAATAGAGATCCCAAATCTGAACTAGCCTATAATCTGTTCAGGGAAATGTCCTAAAAACTGAAGATAAAGATGGTCTGCATAATACTGACCAATGGTTCAGAGCTGCCCCTTTTATGTGTTTTAAGTATGCAGCATGTAATTTGTGGAATCTTATTTGTTCCCCCCGTGCATTTCACCTTTTTCCTAATTCCATGTTTGAGATAATGAAAGTGAAGACTTCTTTTATGTAAAAAAGAAGAAGGTGCATAGAATTTAAACATTTGTTTTACTTGTGCTTACTTCTGCTCTTGCATAAGGTAGTGCCTATAAGACGTTTTATTGGTTGTTTTAAAGACAGGATTCATTTATTTAGGAGATACATTTTTTTTTACAAAATCTACTAGCTAGTGAAGTACTCAAGTTATTTCATGGCTTTAATTCTCTTGTCCTATGTTACACATTTTTTAATGAATTCTCTGGCAATTAATATTTTTTTTTTTTGCATACCTACAGAGAGTTTACCATGGCTGAAATAGAGCATTTCTGTGACCCTTCAGACAAAGACCACCCAAGATTTGCCAATGTGGCTGATTTAGTGCTGACTTTTTACTCTGGCTGTAATCAGATGGATGGTAAACCACCAGAGAAGAGAACTATAGGAGAGGCAGTGAAGAGTGTAAGTTCAATCACATGTTTCATATCACATTATTCAATGGTTTAGTTGGTGACTTCAGAAATTGTTAATCCACAGTCACAAATCAAGGAGATAGTTAGGAGATAAAGAGAAAATGCACTGAATATAAGATCAAACGGGAGACAGTCAATTCTGCAAGGATGTGATCACTAATAGCGAGATATTGCAGGTAGTTTTCATCAAAACTGGCATAGTTAAGCACAAATGATACTAAAATATAACTACATTCAAACACATCTGGTTACACATAACAACAAACATTAAAAAGAGCAAACAGAGTGAAATCCATTAGTAGTTTTAAAGTTTGTTATACAAATTTGTATCCCCATGTGGGTTCCAAAGATCTACTGCTCCATAACAATCATTTTATAAAATGCATCTAATTAGTGGTGGTTCCTTTCGGAGTCAGAGTGCATCTGCCTGAGAAGCAAGGAACCAATAGTCTGCATATAAATAGGCAAGATTGGTAAAACAAATGTGCAAGCAAAACTTAATTTCTGGAAAAAAGACCAAAGTCCAGAAGTGGACAAACAGTAGAAGTTTCTGCTGGAGTTTGCAAAAATTCGGCATTTTGAGGAAATAAGTACATAATTCCCTAAATGCAGCATAAAAGCGTTGCTTATCAGCTTACATTAGTGCCGACTATACACAAATATTTGGAGTTACCTTTGATTGATGAGCTTATGAAATATCACCGTTTTATCTTTCAGTTCATAATCTTTCTGGTTTATGGCATTATAATTGCTAATGGACTGCAGTGTGGGGGCTGTAGAGAGAATAACAGATAACAGATAGATAAAATGTGTACACAAAGGAGTTCAGTTGAAATTGAGGCAAATCAATAAGACTATGGAGAGAGAATTACCAAGCAAACCTACAAACATTCTGAGTCACTAACTGGAAAGGGAAAGCCAGTCAAAGAGGGGAATGGGGGCAGTGAACTTAAAGGACTCTGAATGCTATAGAAGAAGAAAAAGATCCTATCTGATATTGAATTTTTATATAATCTCTCTTTTTTTATGGAGTATTTGCAGTTTGTTTGCAATATTTTTTGTTTGTGAACAGACAGAAAGAACTATTGTTTTTGCTTTTTCTTGTGTTCACTTTCTGATTTACACCGACAGACAAGTTTTTGGGTTAAAATGGAGCAGTGATGCGCAATATAATACTGTTAATGTCTGTTAGCCTACCTCACCTTCATGTGATGGACCCTGTTTATCCCAGCAATCCAGTAGAAGGTTGGGGTTCTTGGCGGGACACTGGATGTGACAAGAAACGAGGTAAAGGTGAAGAGATGAGCCCACTCGCCCTCTCAAGAGATCCTGAAGTCAGAAATGCTAGGCCAGAAGGCGGATAAAAAAAAACCACAGTACTACACAACGCCCGCTATATATATATATATATATATATATATATATATATATATATATATATATATATATATATATATATATATATATATATATATATATATATATAATATATATATATATGGTTACACTGTTTTTGCTCAAAGGTTTGTTGTATTTAATTTTTTATAAATAGGTTCATATGATGACTTGGCATCAATTGGTTGAAGACCCTCAGGGGAATAAAAGACAAGAAAAAAGAAGACCTTCATTAAATGGTATGATGGAATCACAAATGTAGAGCTTTAGGAGAGAACTAAGCAAGCTCCAGTGGACCAAGAGATGGAGAAAAGATGCTGGTGCTGGACAGGACACACATGGAGAAAACTGGAAAACAATATAACTAGAACGTCTTTGCATTGGAACCCACAGGGGCATAGGAATAGAAAAAGGGAGCTGGAGAATGAAGTAGAAAGATGCGGAGAGCTGCATGTGATAGCTTGGATAGAACGACTTGACATGAGTTGGTTGAGTGCCTGCCTATGCTAAATTGGAAAGGTAGAAGAAGAAAGAAGAGAATTCATAGTATTTCAAACATGTATTTGCACAGTTTATTTTATTACAGGGTTCGTAGTGGACCAGGAAATCGGGAAATTACCGGGATTTTTTTAGTTGACCTTGAACCGTGATTTTTAGCTTATAAAAGACATTCCGACCTTGAAAAGCCGTGAATTTTGACCGCGGCAATGAAATCGTCAGAAATCCTGTGTTTTTCAGCACAGGTAATTTTGGGGGAGCCATTTGGCTTTTTTGGCCATTTGGCTAGTTTTTGGCTACTTTCGTTGTATGGTCGTTTCAGGTGTGAGGGCAGCTGATTATTGGCTATTATTTGGAACCGGAAAAGTGGCCTCACTTAGAGATTTCCTAATTCTATTTTTGGCACTCAGTGTTCTTACACCCCCCCCCCCCCCCCCACCACAACCGTGTCTTACCTTTCTTCTCTCACCCCTTCTCTTTCCTTTGATCTTCTACTATTCTCCTTTCTCTCTCCATTCTTCCTCTCTTCCTTTCCTTGCCCTTTCTCCTGTCCCATCTCTTCTTTGTCTCCTCTCCATCCTGTCTTTTCATTTTCTCTAGATTTGCTTACCCGCTCCCCTCTCTCATTCTCTCCCCCCCACCCCCCATTTGTTTACTGGTTCATCTACATATTTTTTTTGCCCCATAACTATCTTTTCCTAGTGGTTGTGTCCACTACACTTAAAATTGTGTGTGTGTGGGGGGGGGGGGAGAGTAGGTGGCTGTTTTTTTTTCTTTGATGTATCTTGTCTCCCTTCCTGCCCCTCTCTCTTAATCTGTGTTTGTCACTGCCTTCCTTACCCACCTCTCTCTCTCTCTCTCTCTCTCTCTCTCTCTTGCTTTATGTCTGTTTGCCTCCCTTCATCACTTCCTCTTTGTATACCTCCCTCCCATTCTCCTGCTCTGCCTTTTTTCTCTTTCTTTGGTTCTCTCCCTCTGTCTGCTTGCCTCTCTGTGCTGTCCCTTTGTCTCTCTCTCCTTTATGTCTACATCTCTCTCTGCTTGCATCTGCTTCTCACCCTGTCCGTTCTCTCTCCCTCTGTCTCCCTTCTTTCAACTCTTTGTCATATTTTCCTCCTTCCATATCTCTGTTTCGTTCCCTTTTTCCTTCTCTTTTCATCTGCCCATCTCTGTATCTGCATTCCCTCTTTCTGTATTTGTCTCCCTCTCTGTCTTTCGCTGTCCCTTTCCCACTTGTCCTTATCATGTCTCCATCACTCCCTCTCATTTTTTCCTCCTTCCCCAGACTTCTTTTCCTTCTTTTCTCTACCTTCATCTGTCCATCTTTACACTGTCTCTCCCAGCCTACCTCAGCATGTGTCTTCCTCTCTCTTCATGACTCTCTCTCTCTCTCCCCTAACCCTCTCAGGTACCAGGTCCAGAACAGACAGGACTTCAGTTTGCTGCCCTCTACCACCAAGCCCTAAAAAAAAATTTCAAACACTATATCAAGCTCAGGGGCCGACCAACACGAAGATGGGCACAGGATATAAGTGACTCCTTGAGTATAAAAAAGTACATGAGGCGGGAGAGCTGGTGAGAGACCGAGTTTTTTTTGTCAGGACAAAGGAAATGCTACATGATGATGATATCTGTGCTGGTATACCAACACATGTGGCACAAATGAAGTACCTTGTGTGCTCAGTACACCCTTGAACAAGGCAAAAATCTTGTTTCAGTATTACACCGAGACAACCTTGAAAAAAACTAAGGAGACCTTGAAAAAGACCTTGAAAAGCCTTGAAATTGATTGGTAAATTTGGCTATGAACCCTGTTTATTAGTGCTTGCTTTTTCCCTCTTGCATAAGTCAGTGCCTATAAGACATTCTATTTGTTATTTTAAAGTCAAGATTTAATTGATTTAGAAGACACATTTGGTTTTATTGCAGAAACTGGTAGCCAATGAAACACTCGGCTATTTCATGGCCAGAATTCAACTGTTTATGGTCAAAGTGGGTGTGGATCCAGACCGCCTGAGGTTTCGTCAGCACTTGTCCAACGAAATGGCTCACTATGCTTGTGATTGTTGGGATGCGGAGTGTAAAACCTCATACGTAAGTGAATGCTTATTATTTATTTAACAGTTCTGGGATGTCAACAATATGTGCATAGAAGCTATTGGGACTTGGTTTTAGTGTGAGACCTATAAAGGCCCTTTTTTAGACTCAAGGCTATCAAGAAGAGTTTTGTGACTTGATACGTAATGAATGGTGAGCATGTCAGGCTATTGGGCAACCGCCTGGGACTTGGTTTTACGTAATGAATTATATAAAGGGCCCTTATTGTGAAAGTTAAGTTTGACCTATAACTTTTTTTAATCATGCTCATTGGGTGAAATGGTTGCGTCAGGAAATGAATTTTATTTGTTGTAACGTTTTATACAAAACAATAGTTTGATTGTGATTATCAAAACACGTTAACTTAGACTTATATAGAGATGCTAGTTTATTTCTCAAGTGACATAAAAGATGCTCACTCAGTGTAATGTGTGCTCTACACATATGTTTGGTCAGAAGAAGTTGAATATTGTTTATCATGAAATATGTTTGACTCACTTTTCTTAAGTATTCTACTAGGGTCCTACTATATTGAACTAGCAGTTTTAATGTATGGAACAAGTGTCTGTGTTGTATGAAACCAGTAATTTCTAATGTATAAAACTAGCATATCTAATGCTAATAATACATCAGCAAAATATAAGCTGACTGACCGCTTTCATTGTCTGTAAATAGTTTTAATAAACTAATGCTAAGCAAACTGACCAGTGTTTTCAATGGAAGTCTGTTTCATGCAACTTTTCAGGGCTGGGTGGAATGTGTTGGCTGTGCGGACAGATCCTGCTATGACCTGACTCAACATGCAAAAGCTACAAATGTGAAGTTGGTAGCAGAAAGACCCCTGCCAGCTCCGATATCCTTTATTGGCATACAGTGATCACATGCTGTGATTAAGTGTAACTGCTAAGTTATCCATTTGAAAGTTCGTGTTTCTCAACAACTCTTCTTCTCTGAACTAAACAACCCAAAAATCTGTGGCTTTTACTTCTTCTACTTCTCTGTTTGCCCATTAGAAGAATAGTTTACAGGCTGTATTGTTGTTTACAGCTAGTCTGTAATATCCTGCACCTTTTGGCCCAATCCATCTGATCTCAGCAATTGCTTTTTACGACATGCTTGTTAAGGAGTGGTGGGTCTATTCTACACCCCCCCCCCCCCAAAAAAAAATGGCACCCTGCAACCCACACTAGAAAATCAATGGTTCATATATTTAGATATCAGTCTGTCTCATCTTAGTTACACCTTGTAGTTTTCTTTCCTATTGCTTCAGTCCACAAGATTTGTCTCCTAACTTAAACAGTGGGATTTCTTCATTTGAAAGTAGTGAGCTATCTGATGCAGTGCTGTTTATCTGGCAGCTCAGGGGCCAAATCCAACCCCCAAAGGCATAGCAAGTGGCCCATGGACCTTTGCCATTATTTTGTATTAATGATCTTTCTGCTCTTTGGGCTTGGCCCTATGGCCGTCCCCATTTTCAACATTTTGGCTTATGCGTAAGCGTAGTTAAATAACCCAGGTCTAACACTCTAAGACTTCACCTATTTGCTGTAAACTGTAGTTTTACATTCTTCTATAAAGATATATTATATGGTCACTGGATTTTTTTGTCAGTTTTCAAATTATTCATACACGCTGCTTGAACTTTAATTGTTTTGACTTCTAGGGGTGTTCTCCATGTTTTCCGCCCTATACAATAGTACTGATTTGTACTATATATATGTTTATGGACTTCACTTGTTGAAAAAAAAAATATATTATATGTATTATCCAGATTTTTTGTCAGTTTTATGTGAATTATTTAGCTTGGACTGTTTGAACTTTATTTGTTTTGACTTCTTGAAGATAACTATCACTTTCTCAGTCTTGGCTTAGTCATTTTTCTGGTGTATATATATATAACTAAATTGTGATGTTTATCCAGTTTTTTTAATTTTAATTATGATTTTAACTGATAAATGTGTGATCTTAAAGCACGAGATGTATTTTGTCCTTAACTGTGAATCACAAAACAGTTGACGTGATAGAATGTCTGCCCCAGAAGGGGGCTTTGGGCAAAGCTTTCAAGCAGAATGCCAAGGTCATTGTTGACCACTTGACCAACTTGGCAGCTGAAGAAGTGGCTGCTGTAGAACAGGCCATTACTGACAAAGGGTAAGCTAGATAGTTCAGCTGAATCGTGTGGAATACTAGCATCTGTGATGAGTTTATTTGTTGTTCTTTTACACATAGAATGATGTGTATATTTGTTTGTAGACTGGGCAGTTGGAAAAGGTCTCTTAGATGTGGACAGATAAAGAACTAGACCAAAAGTGGAACTAGTCAGTTTCACAATATCACAAACGACAAGTGAGTGTTGCGAACAGCCTTCATGAGCACATTACATAGATCTACAATACCACAAGAATGAACAGTAATACACAGAATCATTCAGCTGATCTATCTTCATTAAAAATCAGATTTCTGTCAGGCCACTAAAAAATCTGACACAAGTGTGACCACCGGAATACAGAAAAGCCATGAGTAACATGGGCTGTAACTTAAGATATTAGATATAACTGTGTTGAAAATATATCTTTACAGAAGAATGTAAAAAACTTGGATGTGGAAGTCTTGGTTTTTGTTTATGCAGGATTTTGTTTCATTGTTGTTGCACACTCAGATAACTCAGTAATTGCATTTTTAAATCAGGTAAAAAGAAAAATAAGTGCCATTACTTCCTTTATCTGAGAAGACCAAATGTTGGGTACACTACCCCGGGATAAGGAAAGAGAATTCCTTCCTATGGTTCTTGATTGTATAAAAATACCAAGCTTGAGCTAATATTATTATATAATAATATGATGAAAGAGACAGTATGAGAAAATAACAAATAAAATAATGATGTTATAAAGAAATTTACCAGGTCTACTTGAGCCAAGATGGATGGCTCTGTGACGTCTTTCATCCCAAACCAGATGTGTTAATCTTACCTAATTTTTTAATCTCCTGCCTTGAGATGGCGTAAAACCACCACTTCTGGTTGGGTCCAATACCCAGTGAAAGTTGCTTTACCAACTTTTCTAAGTGACATGTTTACAAGATGTATAGATAATGAGATTAGCTGTCTTTGTGCCTCTCAGCTTTTATTTGTTAGAATATGAATAAATTTACTAAATATAACACATGAGGGTGTTCAACTTCTGCAGCTGATAGCTTTTATTTTCAAAAGCCATTTTGATTTCAAATTTTCCAACTACCTCTAAAACAGGGTCATGGAGGTCACAACCTGTCACCCAAACATATGTTTTTTTTTTTTAAAAAGACCCAGGGGTGTATTCCATTTAATGCATTCATTACTTCCTTTATATATCGTTATATTTTTAAAAAAAATTACTTAATGTACATAAAAAAATTTTTTTTAACAGATTTATTAGTGACCTGTGCAAAATGTTTTTGTATTAAACAATTTTTGTGTGGAGTGACAGTTAAAATCTGTTAATATAATGGAAACGGTCATTGTTCAGTCACCAAATGCTTTTTTGCTTTACACAGACATGTTAGTGGTAGTCCTTGTATTTTCCTGTCATTTCTAGCAGTTGTTGTTGAGTTAAAATTTGACATTACAGTACTCAGCGCATTCCCATACACGCTCTGTCCCCATCCTCAGCAGCCAGTGCAGAGTTAGCAATTATTGTTGGTGTGTTTCCTGTTTATTAATACTTTACTGTCAAGTACTAGATTTCCCTATATTTAATAATAAAGGCAATCCTGCACTCGATACTGCATCAAGAATCAGAAGTGACAGACCTACATATACAAAATCACAGGATTGGGACATGTTTGACCAAGTCCCTTCGCATCACTTTCCCCTGAAAAATCTCTAGTACCACTTTCATAAAACTGGACTGACCGCAGAATTGTGGTGTTCTGGAAATATCGTACCACTGCTGGAAAGTGAACTTCAGACTGTTGAGTTGTAAATGCACCAACCTCTATGCTATTGTGATTTGTCAGTAGTGTGTAGTTTGAGACACACTGTCATATCATATGCTTGAGGTGTATCTTAATCTTTCTTTTGTGCTAATAGTTAAAGATGATTTTATTACATGTTTACACCAACAGCAACAAAATGTGTATGTGACTGTTGCTATTTTCCCCCATAGATCTGCTGATGTACAGGTGAATGGTACAAACTTCTCAATAACAAAAGACATGGTACAGGTGAAGAGATACCAGAAGACCCTGCATGGTGAGTCATGTGCTGTTATAACCATGTAATGTTTTACTTTGATCTTGCCTGCCAAGACAGTAGTCCAGGATTCAATCCCCTACATCACTGGCTTGTTTCTCGACCATTTTTGGTTCCTGATTCAATTCTCAAAATGGGCAGTGAATAATTCTCAGAATTTGTTACAATTACTTGGAACAGAAAATTGGCAGGAAAGTAAAGGGCCGCTCCACTTCTTGTGGTTGCCTAGAATATTTGCAGCTCTGAAAACTCAGCACACCCAATGCCACTGTTTACCATGGGATTCCCCATGTGAGTTTCAACGCCCCATTTGGGGTGAAAAGAATAGATCCCCAGCCTCTTTATCAAGTATGTTATAAAAGTGTACTATTTAAGGGTGTTTCCTTCGAAGTCAGTGCATCTGCCTCAGGGGTGAGGAACCAACAGTCTGCATATAAATACACTAGATCTGTAAAATAAGTGGGCATGCAGAACTGAAGTTCCACAACAAGACTAATGTCAAGAAGTGGAAGAACAACCAGAACTTTCCCCCAGAGTTTACAGCCAGAGTACACTAGGAAGAAGACCATGGGATTACCTAGACCTGTCGTGGTATAATTATATACAATAAGTAGCAGTCTCGAGAACAGAAAAACTCACTTTCTCTCAGTCTGTCTCTGGCTTCCTTGCAATAGCTTCTGTGTATGTGAAAGATAGGACTTGAAGAAGTTCCGTTTGCAGTATTAGAGTCATACTGAATTGCTTATCTGTTTTTATTTCTGCAGTGGAGGAATTTGTACCATCAGTTATTGAACCTTCCTTTGGTGTTGGCCGCATCATGTATGCAATCTTTGAACACAACTTTAAGACCAGAGAGGGAGATGAGCAAAGAACAGTTAGTATAATATGTGATTTGCAGTTTATTTCTTCTTCTGTCACTCATGTATTCATTGAAAGATCGTGATTTTCTAATGGGGATTTTTTTTTTAATGTGCAATGTTTCATGTCTTCAGCTATATATTTATGTATGTGCAGCAGAAGTTCAGATGGCCATTTTGTCAGACAAGGATTTCTCCTTGTTGTTTTTCATTACTTATATGGATAACTGAGAGAGATGTCACAATGTGAATACAAAAGGCAAGAGGAGTTTTCATAGCACTTGGACATTTGTAGAAAGTAGAGAAAAAATACAAACCTGAAAACTAACTATGATGTCACATCAGTACTACTGTTAGGAACAAAACTACAAAAGTTACTGATAAACCACAATAACTGGTTCCCACACAGAGTAGAGGGAATTAAATGGTATGATAGAATTACAGATGTGGAGCTTTGGGAAGGAACTAAGCAAATCCAGATGAATCATTAACTAAAGAAAAGATGCTGGCGTTTGATAGGACACACGTTGAGAAAACCTGGGAACATTATAACTAGAAGAGCTTTTCACTGGAACTCACAGGGGGCTTAGAAATAAAGACGGACCAGAAAAACAAAACACACACACATGAAAAAGAACCAGAGAGTGAAGTTAAAAATGATGAGCACATGGGGTGAACTAATGCAGTGGCAAAGGACAGGATGAGTTTGTTGAAGGCCTATGTTCTGTTTAGAGGTAGAGAACAGAAGAAGAGGAAAAAGATATGTCCACAGAATTACACACGAGACTATTACCAACACTGAGGAAATTGGTAAACTGCTTTTTTTTTCATGTGATCAGTGTCTTGCACAAGAAGTACAGCAGAATCTATATCATACTGACTCCTTGTATCAAAACTGCACAAAATGTGATATGGAGATAAACACAGTGAAAACCGAGATTATAGGAATAGGCAGGAAACTCAACAAGAATGATCCATCAATGGTATTACAATCAAACTAGTACAGGAATTAAAAAACCGGGGGGGGGGCAGAATTGAAATCAACAGATGCATGGATTTAACCAGATTGAGATGGAAACTCAAGGCCAGAAAGCAAATGCTATCACCTGTCAACTGGTTCCCTTGCTCAGGTAGTCAAATGATTCCTTTCCAGAAAAAAGCAAATGGTTAAAAGCATCTTCACTCCTTCTTTATGCTGTCACTGCCAAACTTGGACAATGATTAGAGCAGAGATACAGAAAACTAACTGAAATGTGCTTTCACTAAAGGTCTTCCATCGTAGAAGGGATGGGGTCATGGATACAAACATTAGAGAGAAGGTTAGAACCAGCTGTGACTCAATTACATTGAAAGACAGAAAATGAAGTGGTTGGCCATCTAGTAAGAATGCAGCCAGACCAAATGGTGTATTACGACTTTCTGTAGCAAAACATCTGGATGGAAGGCAAGAGGAAGATCAAGAAAAAGCCATAGAAAGTGTAGTTGAATCTTGTGAGCATATGAATAAATTCACCATGTGAGATAAGCAGAACAGACACAGAAAACGCAACACTGGACTGGCTACAACCAAGTAATAGTTATGGCAAAGTTATATTACATTTTTAAGTATATTTATATTTTGTTTACCCACAGTACTTGTCCCTGCCTGCAGTAATTGCACCATACAAGTGCTCAGTTTTGCCGCTCAGCCAGAATGCTGATTTCATGCCTCTTGTACAAAAGCTTTGTAAGTTGTTTAAAATTTAATATTGTTTGTTTGGTAAAGTAACATCTTCATAGTTTGATTTTGTTAGTTTGGTAAAGTAATATCTTCACAGTATGATATTGTGTTTGATAAAAGTAATTACAAGTGCAGCTGTTTTAATCTGTATTTTGGTAGATGTGATTTCTGCGTTTTGGATTTTTAACTTATGCAATTTGTGTATATCTGGATTTGAAAATGTTAACACAATTGATGTGAATATAATTTTTATTTTTTTAATTTTAACTACAGTTTGTGTGAATATGAATTACTTCATAGAAAGTTATATTTTTAAATAGTGTTGTATCATTGCTCTTTATTTCTCTTCCCCCATAGCTACTGCTCTGACTGGTCGAGACATCTCTCATAAAGTAGACAACAGTAGCGGGTCCATAGGTCGCAGATATGCACGGACTGACCAGATTGCCATTCCCTATGGCATCACAGTGGACTTTGACAGTCTGAAGGAACCTCACACAGCAACACTTCGAGAGAGGGAGACTATGAAGCAGATTAGAGCCTCTGTGAGTTGACCGTCTGTTTGTCCAGTTTCTCTTCTATTTGTCAACACAATAGTCTATTGTTTTTAGTATAGTGGACACTGCATTAGCCTACAGCAATTGCTCTCAACCTTCCTAACACAGCGACCCTTTAACACAGTTCATGATTGTGGCGACCTCCGACCATATAATTATTTTTGTTGCTACTTCATAACTTGAATATGTAATTTTCTGATGGTCTTTGGGGATGCATGTGAAAGGGTTGTGACCCACAGGCTGAGAACCGCTGGTTTTCAGCTGGTTAATATATTAATATATTCTTATTGCAAATGACCACCTGTTACCAGGGACTGTAATGGAACAAAGAATAATAGCACTGTAACATTGTAAATAAAAAAAGCTGATGTATGTTGAATATTCTTTTGTGGATATTCAGGTATTCAGATAATCCCTTGAACTTCTAAAATGGCAAACTAATAGTTATGGATTATGAAGAATCAGCACCACAGCTCTCCTTACAGACCTGTAGATGATCTGTCTCTTTTGGCAGCTAACGTAAGCCTACATCTTCAACATTTATGATATAGTGAAAATAATCTTCCGTAACATTTTCCTCATTGAATGCTGAATGTAAGATTTCTCCCTGGTCATTCATGGCCAGCTACAACCGTGTCACAGTCACATGGATGCACTTTGTCTTGTTATTAGTGTTCACCAGCTGGATACTGCAGCGGAATGTTCTAGTTGTTTGTCACTTTCTGGACTTTTTGTCTTGTTCTAGAGCTTTAGTTTTTGTGTGAGCAACCAATTTACAGCTCTGCTTATTTGTTTTGCAGCCAGTTGGTTCTTCATCTTCGCAGGCAGATGCACTCTTGACTCTGAAGGAAACACTCCTAATTAGTCGACTTTAACAACACGCTTGTTGTGGGGTGCTGGGCAGTGAGTCTGGTTTTTTCCTCACAATGGGACCCCAGAACTCACAAGGCGAGGATGTACTTTTAAAAAATATATCTGGCCTTGGCCATGGTTCATTGTTTATTTAAAGATATTCTTCATTGCACATCGGAAATGGCCATAATTGCTCCGATCTCATACTGAGTATGCTTCAAGTGTTTTTTTGCTAACAACTCCCATTCTGTTCTGGTTGATATAATGATGGGTGGCTCCCGTGTGGTTTTCCTGTCTCCCAGTTCATGGTGTGCAAGACAGTTAGCCAATTCAATCTTAAAAAGTGACCAACTTATTAGCAGCTGACTTTATTGTTTTCAGTATATTGTTTTTAAAAATATAATTTCTGTTGCTGTTATCACAGGTGACAGAATTGCCAGACATTGTGAAGGACTTGGCGGATGGCCGCAGAACTTGGGAGGATGTACTAAATAACTATCCTCTATTTGAACAACAGGAAGCAACCAAATAAAGGATATTTTAGATGTTTTTTGTATACACTGTATTATGTAAGACTGCTTTAAATAGAATTTGTGATTTTGTTGCATTGCTGATCACCTTTTATTGGGAATGTATTGTTTACACTTTGAAGTTGAGTGTTCATGGTCGTAGTTTGTTTGACAGTCTCGCCTGTGTCATTTTTAAGGAACTTATTAGAACAAATGTGTGCTATGGTTTGGTACTTAATTTGAAATTGTTGTGACTTCTAATGAAAAGCAAGCCCTTCTTGTAAAAGTTGGACCAGTTTGTTTTCATTGAGGTGGCTTTATAATTTAAGTAAATATACTGATGGTTTTGTTTGGTATTCATTTTAGCTCACTTGTATGCAAAAAAAATTTTTTAATTTAAAAAACAATGGGGGAGGGGGGGGGTGTCAAATTGTTATTTGCAGAAGCATGTGTGTAACCAAAAATTCTGTTTCTATGGTGAAAACAGGCAGTAATGTACTCACAATTTTTAAAACAACATGGCTAACACTTAAAACGGAAATCTATTGCGACAGGATGAGATTATTGGGTAATATGGTAAAACATTGTCTGACTATGTTTATTTATTAAAACATACAGCTTTCATTTTGTTCTGCTGTGATCAAGTTTTCTAAAGTAATCAAATAATTATGAGCTCAAAAGAAAGCAAGCAAAAAATGAACAAACTAAAAGAAAACACCACAGAATATGTATGGACATATTACATGTATTACATTTGTGTAATCTCTTTTTTTTTAAAATGGTGTCTGGTGCTGTTTGTTTTGAAACTGTTCAAGTTTGAATTCTGGTGTTGGCAGTATAGACTTCAAGTCCATAAAGAACGTGCATGTGGTGGAGGCTTTGTTGGTGCCGTGATCTTTGTGACATTTTACTTTAGTGATCTGGTGCTGAATACCCGGATATTATGCTGTCTCAAGTACTTTATATAGTCTGTGAGTTGTCTCCTGTCTTTATTTCTGTATAAGCTAAATTGTTTTGCACACGGTAGTGAAAAGAGGTTAGTTTAGCAGCCTTTTGACAGGTAAATGTGGTAATTTTATTTGATTGTAAAAATGAAACATGCAAAAATTAATGTCATTGTTTTACTTGACCTCATAATACATAGGCAATTTTGAAAGTTCAGCAACTATAATTCAGAGATCTGTCTTTAGTATCTTGTAATTTTCTCACTAACATCTGCTATATAATAATAAATAATAAACATTCTTATTAAACATGCATATCTATGGTTATCTGTTTATTAGATATAACGGCTGATGCATCATTCATAGCTGTTGCTACTGTGCTTGTCATTATTCAGTTAAGTTTACTCAGGGGCCAAACTGTTGAAAATGGGCATCGTCACAGACCAGAGGTTTAAGCCCCAGTGTAGAAAGATCAATACAAAACTTCTTCTTCATGTTCACCAGCTGTAAACTCCAGCAAAAAGTTCTGTTTGTTCATCCACCTCTGGACTTAGGTCATGTTTCAGAACCTGAGGTGTTACGGGCACATCTGTTTTATGAATCTAGCTTTTCTGTATGCAGGGTGTTATTTCATTGCCTCTGGGGCAGATGCACTCTGACTTCAAAGGAAACACCCAATTATGACATGATGTTTTGGGGGGAGTTCTTGTTTTCCTCGGAACCCATCTGGGGATGTTGCCAAGACAACAGTCCAGATTTGCTTGTCAGATTCACAGGATTGTTACCTGACTTTGGTTCCTAAGTCCATCCTCATAAAATGGGTACTAGATAATTCCCAGAATTTGTGAGAATTGCTTGGAAAGGAAAGGTGGCAAGAAGGAGAATGGGCCACTCTGACTCATGCTGTTGCCTAGAATACATGGCCAAAAAATGTACATACCCAGTGACACTGTTTACCATGGGATTCCCCGTGTGAGTTCCGATCCCTATTAGGGGACTCCCACGACATACTTAGGGGAGGGGGGGGGGGGGAGGCAGTGGGCCTATTGTTTTCCCTAGAACCAACATAAGGATAATACAATACTAATGGCAATGATTCGTTAACTTTACCTGTACCGGCCAGATTTAGCTCACAGCCTGCCAGTTGAATAACCCTGTTGTCATGGATAACTGGTGGGTCAGCGTGAAACTGGCTGTCTCATTCCCTTCTCTTCCGTTTTACTTTCTCTGTTACCAGCAGAACTAATTCAGGCAGGATCTGCTTTGCACTGTACATAAAGATCTGGAACAGTGCCTTTTGGTCTAAAGTGTTGAAAAGAACAGTCTATATCCCTCTCCCAAAGAAAGGAAATCTGAAACTATTCTCAAGCTACCATACTATTGCATCACAAAGTCATGCTAGCAAAATCCTCTTAGGAAGAAGATTGAAAAGAAACTACAAATATTTGCTACATGTAGCACAAGTGGGTTTTATACAGGATAGAGGATATAGGGATCTTATCTTTAATACGAGAATAATTTTGGGAAAATGTAAAGAAAACAATGTAGATCTTCTTGCTTGTTTCATTGATTATAGCAAGGCATTTCATTGTGTCCAACATCAGAAATTCTGGCATATTTTGAGAAGTATTGGGTATCCAGCATTTTCGGTGCATTTAATTGAAAATTTATATAATGAACAAGTTGCCATCAGAGCAGCTAGTGAAACATCGGGTTGGTTTGAGGTGCAAAATAAAGTGAGGCAGGGGTGCATTCTCTCACCATACCTGATCAACATGTATACAAAAAAACAATGAGAAATGACAAAAATGACCACACTTATGACATGAACCACTCATAATTGGTGGTAACTTTTTTCCAGAACTTCGCTATGCAGATGACACAGTCCTCCTTTTGAATAGTGTAAATGGAAGAAACAGATTTAATCAGGTATGTCCAAAAACACAGTGAAGATCAAAAATGCCCACTGACAATAACTGGCTGTCACCCAAAAATAACAATAAATGACGAAGAAATTGAAAATGTCACAAACTTTGAATATCTATGCTCTATAATAAATAGCAATGAAGACTGTTTGACAGAAATCAAAAAGAGGATGGCCATAGCAATGCAAAGACTAAACAGCATTAAAAGTCTATGGTTCAGCACCATCAAGGACATTACAATTCTGAAAGATAGCATCTTCCCTGTAGCGACATACGGATGTGAGTCGTGGACTATCTTTCAGTCTTTGAGAGCATGCATCTTCCCTGTAGCGACATACGGATGTGAGTCGTGGACTATCTTTCAGTCTTTGAGAGCATGCATCTTCCCTGTAGCGACATACGGATGTGAGTCGTGGACTATCTTTCAGTCTTTGAGAAAGAGAATATTGGCTTTTGAGTTGAAATGCTATAGAAAGATTCTCAGAATATCTTGGACAAAGAAGAGGAGAAATACTGACATCTTGAAAGATCTGAACATAAAGTAAGATTGGCTAATAAACAGCATCCTGTCTCGGAAGGTGAAATATTTTGGTCATATCAAGCGCCACAACGGATTGGAAAAAACTATAGCAGAAGGCATGGTCCAAGGAAGGAGGGACAGAGGCAGACCGACACGAAGATGGGCACATGATATAAGTGACTTCTTGAGTATGAAAGTACATGAGGCGGGAGAACTGGTGAGGGACCGAGTTTCTTTCAGGCAGACTGTGATCAGAGTGATGTTCTGCAAAGTACCTGCTACATGATTGAGGAAGTTTACCATTGCTTTTCAAACGGTTGGCTATCGATACCACTGTCCAAACAACACCAGCAGCTGGGATCGAACCCGGCTCCTCTGCATTTTAAAAAACCTTACATTATTTTAAAAAAGCTTATTCATTTAGGCATATCAGTATTTTTAAAATCGCATTCCTTTAGTAAGCTAAAACACTCAAGAATTCTTGGTGTAGTGCAAGTGATGACAAAGTCAACAGAAACCACAGGCTCCAAACAGGCCTCATTCAGAAAACAAACTGCCGGAAAAGAATTCACACAGGTAGAGGATTTAAGTCAAAACATTGATGCTGAGACTTTAGCCTATCATAAAGTTCCTGGGGGAAAAGTGACTGTTAGTTAAACATGCAGAGCAGGGTGCAATGCTGCAGAGTTGGTAGGCAAGCCAAATGCTTGCTTTTGGCTTACTGTCATAGGTTACACAATTTGATTTATAACATTATTTAAAAAGCGCGCTTACATTATTTAGACTTAACAATCTATACTCAGTTAATACACAATCTATGCAATGACGAGAACAAAATAATTAAAAAGCATTCGTATCCAATATTAAAGTAGTAGGAAAAAAAATAAATAAAACTGCTTATATCCCAGCTACAACCCAGATGGGTTGAACAGAAGGATATCATTAATTAAATTACTCCTACTACTAAATTTAAAAACAAAAGTGTTTTTGAACCTTACTGTGTTTCGACCGCGAGTATTATACTTTTGCAGTGTCACAGTGCAATCGCTATAGTTAGTTATCCTGTCATAGTTACCTTGCCATAGTTACTCTGCCACGGTTATTACCCTGCCATAGTTACCTTGTCATGGTTATTACCCTGTTATAATAATTACCCTGCCATAGTTATTACTCTACTATGGTTAATTCATTCAGAAGATAGGTTAACACATTTTTGCTGGTTGCGCTTAATAGGATATACCTTGCTTAACCCCTTGAGTCTCTTTGAGTTTTACACCCACCTATTCTACTCCAGTTTCAGCTTCTCTGTTTTGTGGTGTTACTGTTTTGACGTCTTGGGGCCCAAACCAATGTTATCTCAGATTATCTGCCCAGAGTATACCCGCTGACTGGGTCAACGAAGGCCATTTAACAAAATGAGATTGACTGGGATTCAAACCTATGGCCACTAGAACCGCAGGCAATAGTGCTAGGTACGGCTCTATCATTACCCCTTTTGAAAAAATCGATAAATGAAGTTTCATATTTAAACAAATGTACAGCACTACTAGTGACAACAGTATGACAAAAGTAAACAATAATCAAATGATGGTATTCACGTGAGATTTGCCAGACTGCCCAGTACGAACTAATGG